TTGTTTGTATATGTGTCTTTCTGGCTGCTGTTCCATACAAATTTCCCCTTGTGGGACAATTAAAGGATTATTCTATTCTATTCTATTCTATCTGGGGTCTTAGTCAAGGAGGTGACCAAGAACCCAATGGTCACTCTGACAGAGCTCCAGCATTGCTCTGTGGAGAAAGGAGAAGCTTCCAGAAAAACAACAATTTCTGCCTGAAAATGTCTGTGGGGGATATTCTAAGAAAAACCTGTTTTTTGACCCCTTAAGCACGATTATATAACAGAATAATTAATCTATTATCTTTCAAGCGCATACTCAAAAAACAAATTGCTCCCAAAGTCAATACTGTAATACTGTTTTGTCACTGTGTATGTGAAAAAAATCCTCCATATAAATATAAAGCTGAGCTGTATTAGAGGTCAGTAAGCCTGGAAAAACTAAAAAATAAGTAAATAAATAAAAATCAAGTGAAAGCAGTGTCAATTGTAAAGGATTGAAGCATTCTGCTTGGCTGGATGGTAAGAAATATATACAAATATATACAAATTACACTTCTAAAGCATAATGTAAAAAACAACAAAACAGATTTCTTTTTCTAAATTCACACTCTCAAACTTAGGAAGCATCTTTGCTTAAAATTTGTGGTTAGCAGCTTTATGAAAGAGTTTGAAAGGATTTTTTTTTCCTTAACTGTTTTTTTTAATTTTTTTATTTGTTTTTTATAATTTCACTTTGAGAAAGTAAACAAAGACAAAAGACAAGCAAAAACAGAGCAGAACAAAACAGCTCATAGGGTTTAATTTTGCCTATATGCAAATTATACATTACTATGTGATCAGCTATTGAACGTCTCATTAAAGAAACCAGCAGATAGTCATGTAGAGAAAATCTATAGTCATTTGTAATACTCACACATCTAATTTCAAACTAGTCCAAAAGGGTCCATCCACTCCACAGATGAAGCAATTGCTCCCTTGTATGCGAACACATACAAATCCAGTATAATCAGTGTCCGATGCCCAATGTTACCATGGGGAAAAAAAACCTAAACTTTATTATATAAATATAATAAAGTGTGTCATCTATTTTCCAGACTGGTAGAAATACGAGTCGTGTATAGCAGCCAATTTGGAAAAGCCTGTGTTATTTATTAGCTTTTGTAGTGACAAATTATGAGTCTTTTCAAATATTGTCATAAAACTGAAGTCATGAATATGAGACAGACTAATGCAGATTCCCTGCACAGCATAGTTAACATTGTGACATGTCCTTTCCTTGTTTTACGTCTGAGAGAATAGACAGTTTTAATCACTCATCACTACTTCACAACTGCAGTAAAAACAAGTTTTCATTAAAAAAATGGAGTTAAAGGTAAATATGGCGTCACTTCTGTGTATTCAACCTCAAAATGCACTGTAAATTTCTGAATTCTGCCCAGATTTAAAACTCTTCCCTATGTTAAAAGCAAAAACTGTTTTGTATTTGGCAAAAATTTAACTAAGGTTAATACAGAGCTTGCCTGCTCAAAATATGAACAGACAAACAGAAATCAAATGTTTTCAAGACATCGAAAGTATAGATATAGATAAGAAACACGTCCACTTCTACTGCTTTATGCTTGAGTAGACACATTCAGCCTTGCTGTTGTTTCTCAGTCTTCTTGGCCTCTCAGCCTTGTGGTGCTTCAAAGCGGCATAATGGATGTTTTCTTCATTTAGAGCTTCCTGATTATAAAATATTAAATGCAAAATTATTTAAAATTGCTCAAAATAAATAAAAATGAAAACAAACTGAGTCCAAAATGTTCCACTTATGTTAACATTTTAATGTTAACCCCCCAAAAAAATTACCTGTGCGACTGCTGAAGAAACAGGAGAAATTCTTGAATGAGACTCTAAAGAAAAACAAATAAAATGTTCTTACTGTAAAGCTGTGTCAGTACTGAGTAGTTAATGTCAATAACAATAAAAGTTGCAGTACCTGCACATTTGAAGTTGCTTCTCTTGTGGGTCACATACAATAATAAAGCCAATAAAAGACTCAGAAGTGTGGTGAATGCCAACGCTCCACTCAAGAAATACACAAAGACACAACAGTTCCTCTCATCTGTGGACAGACACCAGGAAACATTATAGATCCTGTAGCTTGCTGCTATGTAAGATTGTGTTACATAAAATAAAAGTTACTCACACTCCAGCTTGGTCCCGTTTCCAAACAGTATGTGTCCACATGAGGCGACAGCACAGTAGTAGGTCCCAGCATGAGACATATTCAGGCTCTTCATTGGCAGGTTGTAGACACAGGTGTGTGTCTGTGTGTTGGGTTTCCTCTCACACTGATCATTCCTGCCTCCATGGGTGTAAATGATTCTTGGGAAAGACTCTTCAGAGTCTCTGAACCAGTAAACACTGTGTTCTTCATCACAGGTCCCAGTGTGTACTGTACAGTTCAGAGTCACAGAGCCTCCTGGCTGGATGGTCTCAGATGCTGACTGCTGCACTAAAGTTGGGATGTTCGACCCTGAACCTTTTACATCAATGACAGTACCCTCTGCAAATGTAAAC